TTTTTTTTTTTTTAAAATCTATTCGAATCACTAATAATGTCTCCCATGTTTTTATTTTTATGAGTACTGGATTAATGTGCCTTCGTTAATATCATCTCAACTTGTTAATTCGATTTTAGCATTCATTTGATAACTACGCTACGACTGAATACCATTGAAGTGGTCCCTCTTAGTAAAAAGATTCATGTCAAGAAAAACGAATCAAGTAAACTTTACGTTCATTTTTTTTATTGCGCAACTAAATACACATGTCTAATTCTCTAGTATAAAATAATACTACGTTCAACGTAATCGTACCGATTACTCACTTGATTGCTCGTTAATGCACTAGTTCAAATGTTGACGTTGTGCAGCAAATTGAGTGTCGCGTAAGACGTTTTTATCATCTGCAAAGTAACCATGTATGCATATACATATATATATATATACGTGCTACGGAATCGTAAAATGAAAAAAAGATGCGATTTATCAGGAAGTGCCCTCAACAACAATATACAAACCCAAACGAAGGTGTCCAGGTTAAGGGCAAATTGTCCACGGTACGAAATGGTACGGCCTTCCTGGTTGTTCAACATGAGCATGTGCAACATTTTCCTCTCCTCGCCGTTCATCGCCAACCAATCGCTGCTGTACACCGCATCCGCAATACCCGAAACCTACATAATTTTCGAAAACGCATTTTGTCAACGGATCATAATTATATCCCTTTATTGTAACCGCCCGTTTGAAAATTGATTTGGAAAATGTCCCAACAAAGAGAACAGATCGAACCTTCAGCATCAAATCGTTGCCGAACCAACAGTAAATCAACACTTCCTGCAGTATGGTCAGCGTGAACACAAAAATAAAGACGAAATCCGGACTGAACAAGCTGTACTGCACATACACACACGCGCAGACAAAAAGCAACGAAACAACAGCGAATGAGGATAAAATTTTAGTTGGAAAAGAAAAAAGAAAAGAAAAAGATCACAAAATCTACCTTGTGCATCTGGAACGTACTCGCGACGATGCTTATCACACAGAACAGGAAGAAAGGCACGGTGACCCCGATGACGAAGGACTCGACTTTCTCGATGACCTCGTGAATGAGGACGTTGTGGGCCACGCAATCCCTTATCCTGGCGATACTTCCATGCTGCAACTTTGCCAGTCTGTGGGCGTTCAAGTCCAACTGTCCGGCCAATGTAATGAGCAGGCCGACGCACATAGTGTCGAAGGCGATGTTGATGGCGATGCCGTATATGGCCGAGACGAATTGAAGAGTAGCCGTGGCGTAGAAGACCCTCGGGCTGGACACGTTGTAGAACTGGTGGGTCAAGAAGGGCAGCTCGTCTTGATGGACTCCCCCGATGGCCTTGAACACGAAACCGTAGTTGTAGCTGGAGAAGCAGAAGTAGGTGAGGGCCATCATGAGCGTGGACAGGGTTTTCGAGGTGATGGCGTAGCTCGCCAGTATCCGGGACTCCTCGGCGTCCCTAGCTTTGCAGTGGTGCACGCAGAGGTCGTTCACGATGTCGAGCAGTTCGTCCCGGCGGAGCACGAAGTTGGCGATTTTCAAGCAGAGCGTCAGGTACGTCGACGCGAGGAACGTCGATTCCGTGAAGTCCCTCACGTTGAACTCCTTGAGGGCCAATCCGGCCGTGAGGCTAAACGTGAAGTAAAAAATGACGAAGATGACGGTGAAACCGTAACATTTCCTCGCCAAGCTTAATTCCTCGTTTTCCTCGTGCCAGATGCCGCAGAGTCTCAAAGTGGCAAAGTTGAACGGCAACACGTCCATCGTGTATATTATCTATGGAGAGCTTTTGTTCTCTGTGTGCAGAGCGGAAAAACCAGCAGGTATATGGACTATTGTCGTTGGTAGTCCCTTTCGAAGTTTCGCCATTTAAACGGTGCATTATTCATGGTGTGTTTATGCATTCGTCGTTTGTAGTGCAAGTTGAGCGAAGTTGCTGGTGTGTGACGCACTTCGAAGGTATATAATATGTTGGTTATACCCAAAGGGGAGAGAGGCAATTTGCATAGCTTAACGAAGTGAACGAAGGAATCCAAAATTAAAACGCTCACATGTCAATGCAGGAACTTGGCGTTGCCATGGCACTGCATTGATTGCACCGACTTACGAAGTGTGCATCGGGCTGACACGAAGTTTCTATATTTTTATGGGTTGTGTGGTGTTTGAGATTTATAAAAAANTAAAAGAAAAAAAAAAAAAAAAAATCCTTTTTTCTTTCCCGTTTTATTTTTACAACTTGGGCTGATTTGTAAAGAATTGATTTTACATTTTTTCTAGAGTACATTAAATATATTTTCATTGGTGAATTATAAAAGTGAATCTTACGATTAGATCGAAGTAAATGATTATTTTGAAACCACTCAGTTTTGGCGCATCGACGAAGACTAGCATTTTTTTCTATAAATATAGTAAGCTTCAAGTACAAATCATTTTTTTTATTTTAATACTGTTATACATGATAATTTTGCATGCTAACGTAAAGAGCGTCGTCTTCAAGATTACCGGGTCGAATGATCTCCGCGATTGTGGAACCTGAAAAATAAATTCAAAGGGAAATTTGTACATAATTTATGAGGGTCGAACATGCGAATTTAGACTTTAAAAAACTGCAATTGATCAAAGCTAATATGTATGTTAAACCTGACATCGAAGTTTTTTTTTTTTACTTATGAGTATAATGAAATTTATATTTTATATGTCTACATGCAATATATTGGTTAAGCAGGTGGAAGAACCTAGATGATTTGTCAACTAAAAGTACTAGAAAAGGGTAAAATTTGGCATTTTATAAATAAAAAACATCTCACTAGTCAAGTGTCGATCGTAACTTTGGGCCAAACTACATTTGAATAACTATTTGAATTTCAAATAATAGTTATTTACGTAACAAGTCCGGAAAAGACGATTTTCCGCACGAGTCTATCACACGAGTACAAGATTTTTCGCCATAAGTGTGGGGCAAAGCCCCCCCAACTGCAAAAATATTAAATGATCGTTCAAAAAAAAAAAAATTTTATGCCTCAAATATAAGAGCAGGAATCGGATGAAATTGAAATTTTATTTTGAAAAACAAACTTTGAACTACTTAAACAAAAATATTTCCAAAGAATTTTACAACTGTAACAAATTAATTGGTTAAAGGACCCCACATTAACACAATGGGATTGTGGTTCCCAATGAAATTTCCTGAAATTGTAATATGACATAATTTAATGGCATTAAAAAAAAAACATCATTAAGAAGGAATTTTAGTTGGGAGTTGAGACTTAAGACCAGGTAGGGTTATGATAGTTGTACTCACACGGTATCTTAATTCGTTTCATGCAAGATTTCTGGTATGTAGAAAAATTTTTTCCGGTGTGTGGAGAAACCTTTGCCACACACCTTTCCGCACACTGTGCGGTAAAATCGATTTTCCATACTAACTAAGAATAGTGCGGAAAACACCTATTTTCCGCACACTACTACGAAAAATACAGTACGGGGAAAAAGTCAAATATGATAGTAAACATGTTTCCAGTTACCATTTCATTATTAACCAGAGAGAGAGAGAGAGAGATGTGTTCATCAATCATTTGGAAATACATACTGTTAAGCTCTGGTATTGACCTGATGCAATAAACTCACTGTGGCATACGAAGTTTTTATTATCTGTATGGTAATAATATTCACAATTAGATAACAAGCGAAAGACGAAGAAACAAAAGGTAGTTGGTAATAGAAAATGAACCATCTATACCCATAAGAATGTTTTCATGTTGAGTGCGCACAATCCGTGACAAGAGATCCTTTGGCCTTTTTTATTGCAAATCATCAAAACGAACAATAATCTCCTCTCACGGGCATCCATTGAAATCCAATCGCATTTATAGACCGCGTTTGATATTTCTTGACTCTGTTTTTCATACAATCACATTATCATACACGACAGTGAATTTTAGTTTAGTTCTCAATTCTATGGATCAACAGATGTTGGCTTACCTTAAGCATCAGTTGATTGCCGAACCAGCAGTAGATGAAGACTTGCAGCAAAATACACAGGGAGAAAACACTAATCCCCGCGAAATCCGAGCTAAGGAAGTTGTACTGCAGAACAGACGATTCGATACGCGTACAAAAAAAAAAAAAAAAAGAAAAAAAAGAGGAAAAAGTCCCACATTTACCTTGGAGGCTTGAAACATGCTCGTGCAAATACTGGCCATGCTGAGCAGGAAAAACGGTATGGCAACTCCCACAACGAGGGACTCCACCTTCTCCGCCACTCCTCGAACCAACAACCCATGGGCGACGCAATCTCTCGCGCGAACCACGTCACCGCGACTCAACTTCTCGAGTCTACGGGCGTTCAACTCCATTTGTCCGGTTATCGCCATGAACAGCCCCGCGAACATGGTGTCCAGGGAAATGTTGATGACGATGGAGTAAACGTTGGCCACCACCTGGAAACAAGCCGTAGGGTACGCGACTCGCGGACTGGAGACCTCGTAAAACTGGTACGCCTTGTACGGCAAGCTTGGCGCGCCGAGAGCCACCTTGGACGCAAAGGTGTAAAAAAAGACCAGGGCGTCGCAAATGGCGAAACCCATGAGGAACGTGAACAGCCTCGTGGACGTGGTCGCGCGTTTAGCCAGTATCGTCGTCTCCTCTTTGCCATTGGGTTGGCAGTGCGGGTGGTTCAGATCGCGGATGATTTCGAGGAGGTTGTCCCGGCGAGCCAGGAAGTTGATGATCTTGAAGCAGAGGGTGAGGTACGTGGCGGCGAAAAACAGGGCCTCGGTGAGGTGGTCGATGTCGCTGCTCTTTAGGGCGATCTCGGCCGTCAGGGTGAACGTGAAGTAAAACACGATTGCCACCACCAGCAGTCGGTACAGCCTTCTCGCGAGCCCGAAGCTTTCGTTCTCCTCGCGCCACAGCCCGGCAAGTCTCAAGGAGTGGAAATTCGCCGACAGCCCGTCCATGCCGGCCGGAAGTCGTTTCGATGGGCGCCACTTACTTTATCGACTACCGCGTCCATAAACACTTTTATCACACTCTGACCGGTAAACGTGAAAAATCGGAAAAATATGCATCACGTATAGACGCGCATGGACGTTGGTCAATTATCGATTGTGTTTTCAGTTGCCGAAGTAAGTTTTTTCATTGGAATTAAATTAAACTTGAACGAGTTACTTTGACGCCACTTGTTAATATTATATATACATGTATATATATGTCAAGTGATGTAATATATGTATTTCACTTGGTATACTCATCGTCAACGAGAGATGAGGACGAGTGTCGAATAAAGGCTGAAGTTAGAGAGAAAACGTTGGGGCTGAGCAATTATCTCCTTATATTTTTACACAAATATACATTTTCTGTTTGCGTATCGGCACATATTTTATTGTTAAAAGAGTCCATCTAGACTGTGAACAACTCGGTTGGCCGATTTATACTCCTTTATCCTGTAACAACACCGGCGACGTGCCGAGCTGGTGTCTCAAATGTGTTTACATATTGGTATAGAAGCTCCCCAAACTATTTGCAAACAGACGTGGTATATGTAAATACAAAGTACCAGGACACGGTCAAAGGAGACCCGAGACAAAGAAAATCTTTTGAGAGATAATCATTATATGGATTAATATTTATTAACCGTCTATCAAAAAAGTTAATACATGCATGCACGGCATGTGGATGCATTGAGTGGTTGTGACGTCAAACATTATCATGAAAAATATGAAAATACATTGTTGCAAACACACACCAGTTTCTTTATGACACTGCCAGTCCGAAGCCTGGGTGAAAAAAAAAATTTATTATCCTGTACTGATCAGAACACTGATAAAATACAGAAATAAATGCTCAGCCCCGATTCGAAACTGGCCAACGAGAGTTTATTAATAAATACAATTTTTAATCAACGTTATTTCGGCTGGGTACGTACAGCCCTTTTCAAGTTCAATAATTTTTTATCCATCAAACTGACATGACTGTATACAATCAACAATAATTTACATTAGACGTTTATCGTAGTAAATAATGTTAATCTTATCTTGTACCGGAATTTTATTTATCACTGTATTCTCGTTGGCAGTAAGACTCATTATATTGCGTACTATATTTTTATTTATTCATTTGTCAAAATCACATTTCAGTGTGAAACTGACTATTGGAGATTTGCTGTTTTGTAGAACCCAAACGAGGGTATCTGTACTTGAGACGATGGTGGGGCATAATGGTTAGCAAATATTTAAGGGGTGACAGTGAATGAACGCCCTACAAAGAAACAAGTGCCACGTATATTAGTCGCGTTAGATACAGGATGGGGTGCCTTTTTGTTTCGCAAAACAATTCTTTGCGACAAAATTAATCACCAGGACGTGTAAACATTGATCATTCCAGAAAAGTCACGTTTGTTAATTATAGATTTATTTTATTTAATAATATATTTTTTTGCATCTTAAGCCTTACTCTTGAATTGGGCTAACATATCTACAAAACATCAAACTAATTGCAATCAAAAAAGATTAATAATTATATATCATACATATATTAGCAAAGTAGATATACTATTGATACCAATTTAAAACAAAAAGTATATGCTATTGAATTACAAGTCTGTTTTCTTCGCTTGTACAAGATAAAAACTATAACAAACAACACAATATACTGGTAACCCTCCCATAAACGGAATAAATAACAAAAATAAAAAATAATTGAGTAAAAAATAAATTTCATGTATTTAAAATAATTTTATTAGTAAATAATTTCTACCTTTAACAATAAAACTGTACCTTTTCTGACTACTGCACCTAATCATTTTTAATTATTTTTTCAATAGATTCAAAGCCGCATATGACGTTTTAACCACCTAAAAAAACAACATTAAATAAATGCAGTGATTTCTTGTTATTATTCTTGTAATCATTATTTTTATTTTTATTATAATTATGATTTTGATTACTATCATTGCTGATCTATGCATGTATCTGTAGCGAAAACATTTTTTTTTTTTTTTTTTTTTTTTTTAATTGAAAAAAGTTACTAACGAATACAGCTGTTTGATTCACGTTCAAACAGCCCAATCCGTATTTGTGTACATTATTTTTCAAATTTCGCGTTCCTTCATTATCATTTGCGCACTTACCGATGTAAATGTGTTGAGGGATAATTTGCACTGTCCATGGAAAGATATGTCGCAGCCACGTTGAGCAAATAACATGACGAGCCATAAATTTTTCCTCTCCTCCCTTGTACGATCAATCCAGTTGCTGCAATAAACAGCTTCCGGCACAGCTTGACTCTTTAAAAAATAATAAATTACCATGGTAAGGACATTGACTGTAGTCCGAATTAATTTTTTAATTTTATTTCTTCACCTTTGGTGTATGCGACAGCTTGAGCGTGTACGTATCTTACCTGTACCTGAAGCTCATTGCCGAAGTAACAGTAGAAAAATATTTGAAACAGCATGCAAACGAGGTAAGCAGAGAGCAACAAAAAATCAAAACTGCCCACTTGCCTCTGTAAATGTTGAATCTTTCATTAGCTAACGCAAAATAACCCAAAGACTATGGAGTAAAAAATGGTCAACAAATATTATACTTTAACGAGCTCATTTTGTAAAAGCACTTTCCAAAAGTTTCCAAAGGTGGGCTTGTAAGTTGAAAACTTTTAAGATCAGCATTTACTTATTGCAAAATAAGCAGGGCGGTTGGACGTTCATTTAATTATTAAAAGCACAAATGTAAAATCGACGTTAACCATCTATAGTTAAATAGCAAGGTAAAATACAAATAATGACGTATAATTACCCGAGACACCTCGAAAATGCTGGTGCACAGCGTGATGAAGCTAGAAAGTAAAAGAGGTAGCATGACCGGGACGAAAAAGTTCTGTATTTTCTTGACCGTGGCCACAATCATCAAATAATGATTCAGACAACTTTTCATCGATTCTTGGCCGTCTCTGAATCGGCAAGAGTTCATCTGAAACTGTCCGGTCGACAAAATCAAAAATCCGTAGATCAACGTGTCCATCGACACGTTGAGTGGTACACTGCAAACGACGGACAGGATTTTCAACGCATAAGATATCCAAAAGCATACGTTGTTCGAGGTATCCCAAAATTGGAGGTACCGCAAAGGCAGGTGGAGCTGTTTGTTTTCCGAAGCGACGATCAGTGGTAGGAAGCAAAGCGCACCGCCGGTCAAAGAACACGCGGCAAATGCGCACAAAAAAATCAATTTCGCAGTTCTCCTGTACTTGTCGTACAGTTGCAATTCTTGAGGTGATTTGGCCTGGTAATTTTGCGACTTGAAATCTTCGAGCAGATCCAATATTTTTTCTCGCCGCGCCATGAAGTTCAATAGCTTCACGCCAAACGCACCGAAGGTGCAGGCGAGGTAAAGCAGCTCCGTGAATTCACCCACGTCGCCTTCCATGAGGAAGAGCTCGATTATCTCGCCTATGATGAATTGAAAGATAATCACGAGCACCGCTGATCTATACATTTTTTTCAGAACTGCGTAGCTACTGCTCTCGTACCACAAGCCGAAAATTTGACAGCAGCGAAAATTGCACGGCAAAACCTCCATAACTATGCGTCAACCCTTGTCTTTACAAAATAACACTGTTACAACAACAACTTGTAAGTAATTGTAAATTATTGTTATGAATTTTTTTAGGAAAAAAAAAAAAAACACTATTTCAGAATAACTGATATTGAAAAACACGAATTACTGTATTGTCTTTGGAGAAACGTTAAGTGACATTTCTGTCTCAGGTGCGTACATCACATGTTTGGATACGTTTGAGCCGAACTTGGTGGCAATAACATTTTGCCAAGAAATTCTGGACGAAACCTCGTACTCCTACATCTTGATTGTTTGAGGACAAACAGCTCGTCCCTCCCTCCCACTGTACTTAAATAATTATTCATAATTGGCTATTCGAGAAATTCGAGATAATATGCATCGTAAGTATACGTTACATGAAATGAGGATGAGTACGACGTTTCTCAGCGCGAGATCGATAAACTATACGTTGGTGTATATTTTCTTACATGTCGCCACGTATGAATCTTCCATTGTTATATATACGTGAATCTGAAGTTCGGTTACATATATACAAGGAGCTACATTGCATTGAGGTTTAAGCAAAGCACAACGTCGGACGGGTATACTTTGAAAACATTTCTATCATATTGATTCTGTGAAATCGGATAATGTGATCGATAAAACAAAAAAAAATCAACAAAATGAAGTGCGTACTTGTGTGTATAATTTTTACCTATGTAATTAACGTATACACCGCATCTCGGTTTGACGTAACTTTGGTAATTTTTTGCAAACCGTATGACGGAATCATCGAGCGTTTTGCTTTAAAATAATCAAAAATAGGATCATCCCCGACGGTTCGTACATATAATTATGTGTTAAACTAAAAAACCTTAAAGTGAACGAAACTTTTAGCGACAAGCATAATTACTGGCCTCACAGAGTTGACAGGAGTAAAATTATATTCTTTAATTCATATTTCACCGAATCCTTTTTCGATGTACTTCACAGTGTGGGATCGATTCGAGCTACAATAGCACACGTTAGTCGCATACAGTTGCTTGGATATTCGATGTCACAGTAGCATTATGATAGAACGTTATTATCATCATCATCGGTAAGAATATAATATGCAAACGTTGGTGGTATACGATGGAAAATGATGTGAAATGCGACGACAAGCTCTTTGTTCTCGGGGAAACACGATCGGGTATACGTATGCATAACGAGGCACAACAATTTCCGCGAGTACACAGTGTATCTTTGTGGATCCAACGAAGTCAACCCCTCCATCCATACTACGGCGGTAGGGCTCCAATTTTCTTACCGATTACACGTGCTCCCTGTCTCTGATGTCGTTTGATAAACGAAACTCGTGCAATGTCGTGTCCATTGTGTATTGCTGGGTTGGGCCAAAAACTATACAAGTATAAGTGGTATGGACGGTGTGTATAGAATTGTTTTTCCCCTGCATCCACTATACACCACTAAATTAAGTACATCTCATTGTTGGGCAAGTGTATCAAAATATACATGTACATAATTAACATCACAACGATATGCCGTTCACTGTTTTGATTTATTTAATATCGTGCAAAAGTGTGATAATATATATATATATATATTGTACATATGTAACATCTAGTGATCTAGCACTTACGAAAATTGAATTGTTTCCTAAATCTGTCATATACGTATGAAAAGTTACAAATCGTTATCACATCCCGGTCAGGTGTATACACTTTCAACAATGTTACAGACTGGACGAAACCGACATGATTGTATACATGTTGTTTCTCACCGTTACTCCTTATACGTTTGGTGCATCTATCCCTATAAACCGCCGTACAACATATTCTAAAAGTTGTGTTGACAATTACGTAGCCTCGTGTGTATTTTTGGCGCCCACAAATAATTAGATTATTTGTCTCCAGAAACTTGTTGCAGCAAGTTGAAAGCTCCGTAAGATGTCTTCATCATCTGCGCGTCAATGAAAAAAAANTGTTGATTATTCGTAATGTTTAATTAATTTTGTATATAAAATTTTTTGAATAAAAAAAAATGTACCTATAATATCCTGTACATATGAAATGTACATACACATAAAATAAAGTATGAGTGTATGTATTCTATAGTTTAGGTTACAGCTCGAGCTCAGAGGTTGGTACGTATGCGTTTCAAGTGTTGGCTCAGACAGCCCCCTCCCTAGATCTATACAGTACAGCGTTGCTTTGAGCTATACGAGTCCAAAGTTGGGATAGCTACTAGCAGACAGCTGTACTGTATGCGTTTAATGCGTGTTTGTATTCTCCTAAGTGGGACCCCTGTACTCTCACGGTACAAATTTTTTTTGCGTGTAGATGCTAAAGTGGACATAGTACACCGTAGTCTAGTGGTTACGAAGCCTAATTCGGAAGCTGAAAGATAGAGGTTTAGTTCCTACTCATATTCTTTTTTTTTTAAATAAAAGTATTTGTAAAATGCTACTATGTATATATTACGTAAAACATTTGTTTTAGCAATTAAAGTAGGGCATAAGTACCCAGATAAACGTTTGCAGGGACAAAACGCATTGTCCGTGATACGATATTTCGTGTTTCTTCTGACTGATGAAAATAACGTACCAATGGCTCTTCCTCTGGGACGCTGTCAAAGCGGTCCAGTCGCTTTTGTACACAGTGTCGGCTATACTCTCGTTCTGCGGTTAAAAACTTGATGGTTAAAATTTACACTCTATCGAATATCACTCGTGTCAAAGTCTCTGAGAAAAATCATTTGTCGAAGTTGAAACACAAATCAGATTCTAAAACTCATGTTTCTTAGGGTAATGTTCAGCTTCAACTGTTCAATAGTACGTGTTTTCAGGAGATCATTAGATGTCAAGGAAATGTGCTCGAGACAAACATAAATTCGAGTATCGATAAAGTCGAAAGTGTTGGATTAGAGCGACTGTAATTTATTTGATTGTTGATAAAACTGTACAAACTTTGTGAAGAAACTTCACAATTTCCATAGTTTTCGACCTAATGCACATTGTCAATTCTACTATAGTTCTCGGATTGAAGTTTGTTTATAATTTACCTTTGATAGATATTTGAGCAGACATTTCAACTTGAGTGACATTTATTTGTTACAAAAGAAGAAATGTTAAAAAAAAAAAAGAAAAGTTGAGTTCTTCTCACTCTCAAAGATTTCGACACGTATACATGTTCAAACGTATATTGTGTATGATTCTAACCATTTCTTGGAGTTCGTTTCCGTACCAACAGTACACGTAAATGGGATACAATAAGTATGCAAGGTAAAACGAACAAAAAGCGCGATCCAACAGGGTTGTCGATATCTAAAACAACAATATCATCAAACATGTTATTTCCTCCCCCCCCCAAATTTTTGTTGTTGATAAAAGGTTCGTTCAAGCTCCTCCTTGGTTCGGTTCGGTTCGGTCGGATCTGGGACCAAAAAGCATTAAAAAACCGACCCAGAACCGACCGCCTCGGACCTTTGGTTCTGGAACCAAACTCTCGTGAACGCGTGTTTTTTAATGTTTTTTGGTCCCAGAACCGACCGAACCGAACCGAACCAAGGGGGGGGGGGGCTTGAACGAACCCAAAGGTTGCGCAAACTTCTTTTACAGCCGATCGACCAAATCAATAAAGAACAAAAAAAAAAAAAAAAAAAAAAAAAAGGTACAAGGTCTGATTGTACTAAAAACACAAGTGCAACCGTACCTGGGTGAACTTGAACAGGCTGGTGCAGAGAGTGATGAGCCCGAAGCAAAAGACGGGCACGATGATCCCCATGAAGGTAGACTGGACGCGGCGGACGATGCTCTGGATGATAAGGTGGTGCTCGACGAACCGGCCGACCGATCCAGCCGGGCCTTGGGCGAAACCACCGTTGACGATCAGCCGGTGCCGGTAAAAGTCCACCTGCGCGTTGGCCAGTATGACGAAGGCGCAGACCGTCGAGTCCAGAAAGACCTCGGTGGTCGCGGTCACGTAAACGGCGACCACCTGGAGCAGGTAGGCCAGGGCGAAGCGCACGGCGCTACCGTCCACCTCGAAAAACGTCGCGGCTATCGGGAACGCCGGCCGGCCGGCCTTGGCGATCGGTACGAGGAAGAATATCGAGCAAGATATCGTGCTGACGATCATGCGGTAGAAGTAGACGTTCCTGGCTCTACGTTTGTACTTGCCGAGGGTGGTGGCCTCGTAGGCGTCGCGGGGCCGGCAGATGGACGAGCGGAGCTCGCCGAGCAGCTCGAGGACGCTGGCCCGCTTGAGCACGAACACCAGGAGCTTGAACACGTGGGCAAAGTAGAGGAACAGCAGGAACACCACGTCCGAGAGGACAGCGATGTCCAAGTCCCGAGGGTCGGGGATGTTCTTCACTTGGAGGATGGTGAATTGGATGATGACGAGGAACACGAGGACGCGGTAGGCCATCTTTGGCAACCGGTGCTCCTCGGGCGCCTCGTACCACAGACCGAAGTATCTCAGGGCGCGGAACTGCACGGGCAGCAGGTCCATTCTTACTGTTACAAATATGCAAGGGTGCGTTGTATCATGGGACGCTCCGAACTCTCTGCGGATTTTCCTTTTTCCTTTGTCCCATAGTACAACCCGTTATTACGACGCACAGTAGCGATCAAAGGAACTAAAACAGGCGTGCAATGGATGTTTAACTGCTCTTATTTGCAAAGTACATGTAATTGCCTCGGCTATTTGCATGGTAAATCCGTGTCTTTGTCCACGAGCTCTTGTACATATATAAACATATTACAGGCATACATGTAAGTAAATAAGGGAGGGGACCTTTGGTCGCCACGCCCGCCACCTTTTGCGCTCCGATATTACAAACGGTTGCACGTGTATGTAGGTATACGCTGCATATGTATATACACGACGTATTTTGAGATATCCCGAAATAGCCACTGCTCGTAGGTTCGTTACGTAAACGTGATTGAAAGTGCGACGACGCGTGTGCGCTTGTTGTTTGTTGGTTGTTGCTATGGAGAGAAATCGCATTTGGTACTTTAGTTGGCTGTGGGGGACCTATGCGTCCGCAGAAATATTAGTATGTATAATAGGATCGGTGTGTACGGTGCTTCCCCCTCGATTTACCGATCTATGTTGGACAATTTGTTTGGAAGAGTATCGTTATTAATTAATCTGCAACCTTAAGGAAGCGAAAGAGGAAGTAACCCTAAAAACTTGGTTTATAGAGAAAGTAGGTATATGGTTTTATTTAGTCAAGTTTTCGATAACACTCGCCGTTGTCACCATCGAAGGCCATTTTGATGTTGAAGTAGCATTTGGAAGTCTCGCACGGACTTTTAAAGTTTAGTACAATTTCCCGGTGTATATGTTGTTATTGTATGTTCATCCGGTTCGACCAGCCTTTCACTTTTGTTTGTTCAGGTAATTGACTCACAACCAGCCACTCGTATGTAATAACGCGTCGTCTTACCATTTTCTTCTCATTCTCAAACGATTTATTATTATGTTTTTTTTTTAATAAATCTCTTCTGTCTTTGCATAATCGCATCGCCGATGCACGACAATTCCGCGTTCACCGTCAGAATGAACTTTGGCCTCCCGATGTTGAATAATACATACCCACATCGTACGATAAGATAAGCAATCGAAGAGGGTCGACAACCATGCAAGCACACGTAGAACCCATTGTAACTGGATTCAGTGTAGGTTTAAGACGGAAAGCACCAAGTCAAGTGTATAGTATAAGCGCCGCAACGAAAAGGCCAATAACCATAGTTATGGCGTCAACCGACCCAACGAGCTCAGTTGTTGTGGTGTTGATTATTTTGGCCTCGATCTTGGCAGCGACTTCTTCCCTTCCGGTGCCGGAGTGCGTGGACACCGACGACACGCGGATAGTCTGTGGACGACAAGACCTGGCCGACCAGCTCGTCTACAGGCACAAGTTCGTCGTCGATGCCGCCGAGCCCAAGTGCATCGGCCACGTGACCGGCACTGTCGACATACCCAAGGACTACGGGGTCACCCGCGTCACCCTCGACTTCCCGGACAAGAACAAAAACGCCGTGGAGTCGCGCGTCCTCGAGGGTCCAGGGTCCGACAAGGTCGTCTTCAACTTTGTCAACAGGAACAACCACAAGGTCGACGTTCTCATCGAGATCTTTGCCAAAAAGTGCTAGCTCGCGGATGGGGAAACCACGTCACGTCCACTCGACTTTCAGGGCTTTTGGTTATACTCCCACATTTGGCAAAATTTTTTTTAGTTTCAAGACAATGAACTCTTATTCTTTACTCGCATCACTCTTGCGTAAAACGATGGATCCGTGAGAAAACTTTGTGTATACTCTGTGGGGTGCCGTTTTGCAAAAGTATGATGGGTTGCCGGTCAAGTGCATTGGAAATGCGGCCGTCATTTCGATTCCAAACAACGTTACCTGCGTCTCGAGCAACTGAACTGCCGCAGCGACACCACTACCCACCATCGAGTTCCCCGCAATAAGATGTGCCACGACGCACTCGAACCTTGGGTTTTCAGGAGCAAAGCGTCGAATGTCCGGGATCTCACCATGAAGTTTTTCCATAGAAGCTTGAGTGGGGTGTACTTCCCGCGTAAAAATTTCGCCAAAGTTCATGTGGTCAACGTTTGGCCAAGCTTGGGCAATGAGAAAATCCCAAACTTGGATTTTTGTTGGAACATTTTACTCAATATTTTTCGTAAGTCATATATACTGCAGACCAACTAATATCCTGACGCAACAAATTAATTTTTCCACCCTCGGGTGGTTTTAGGAGGCTGTTACTTCCTCGGGCGAAAAAGCAGTTTTCCGGAACTCGTTCGAAAAGTCTCCTTTACGAACCTCGTTACGTCCCTCGCCTTCGGCTCGGGCCGCAAACCTCTCGGTTCGCAAACAGAGACTCTTCAAACTCGTAGGAAAACTACTATTTTAGACGTTTGGATGAACATTTGCTAAACTTGAGTCAAATATTCCAACAAAAATCCAAGTTTGGGATTTTCTCGTTGCCCAAGCTTGGCCACAGTTTGGCCAAACGTTGACCACATGAACTTTTGCGCAAGTTTGGCCAAACTTAAAAATTTTTACGCGGGTTATTACGCAAATTTTATACGATATATCTATGCCAATTGCACGACGAATCGGACGCATGAGAAGGAGGAGATCACTGGTGACGTTCAGGGGGCGTGCGATGAATATTAAAAAAACACGATCATGTTGTTGACTTTTCAATATGGTTTATTTCTATAGCCTTTAAAAGGGCGATTTGTTACTTCAATATAATGATGTTGACTGTAGGAAATTATACATACCTAATAAAGCTTGGGACGCACCTTGGTGTGTTCCTCTCGTGCGACAAAAAGGAATATATTTTATTCAACGTGTATATATGTTGAAACAACATAATAAGTGTATATATATGCGTATATGTACAAGGTACAAGGTAAAGCAAAATAATTCCATTAGAGAAATTCAAAAACGTATTAGTCGGATTGACATGTAGTGATTCAGTCGTTGGTACTGAAATTAAGTGGTTCTATGGAAATGTAGTTACAAAAATGCTCAAACGGGTCAGTAAAATCCCGTCTCGATCGCTGATATCAGTAAGAAAAAAATGAAAAACAATACTTTACGGACTATGAACATTTACGAATTATTTGTCCAACTCTTTATGAAAAACTTATCGTAATAAACCAGCACTGGTTAGTCTTCTTTATGTACATGCAGATCTGAACATGAATCAAACTTTAATTACAAAGATTACTTAGTTGTCTTTCGATGTGTGTTACTTTGGCAGCTGATGATGAAAAAAAAAAAAAAACAAACAAACAAACTCCGAGCCTCGAAATTCAAGCTCCAAAAATCATAATTTAAATAAGAATCCACTCTTCTTATCATCGACAATATAATGATATGTGTATATATATTATCCGAACTATACTTACTCTTCGGAGATCCGAACGCAACATAACCAACAATATAAGTATAGATGTGGCGTCTCACATCTCTCGAGCTTCAGGCTCTACGCTCTACTCGCTGGTGAGACGCCACATATATATATATGTGTTACACACACACTCTCTCTCTTGCACACGCGCAGCGGCAGCACCGGCGGATGATGTAATACATTAATAAACGTCAGGGGAGGGGGAACAACATAACCTAAAAAAAACAATGGGTCTACTTTTTGTTAGGTTTGCGGAATATACCGGCAAACAGCATGGCCTGCGTCGACCTGTCGTAGATAAAGTAGACGAACGGGTGGTTGGCGTTGAAGATCGCCGGCTCGGTAGGCCGGCTCGAGCGGAAGGTGAACAAAGCCGTGGCAGCGGCGGCGGTGGTGCCACCTTCGGTTAGTTCGATTTTGGCCTTGTGCAGGGCGCTGTCGAGTTGAATGCCCTTTTCCCCGTCCTTGGTGAAACCGGTGTAGTTCGCGCTCGGGTCCAACACGCCGTGGACAGACATGGCGTCGAGTAGCTCCTTGGTCGGGAGCTCGCGTTCCATGCTGAACTTGGGGATGGTCAGCTCGACGTCGCGCGACTGCATGCCGTTGTCGAGTATGTCGCGGAGCTCCTGGGCGTTTTGGCTCGACGGGTCGGAGATGCGTTGCAACAGTTGTTGTATCGCGTCCAGCTTTGGCTTGTCCGCCGAACGGGCTTGGGACGAGGTGGTGACGAACGGCGGCAGGAGGATGTACATCGAGATGCCGTGTCCCTTGTAGGGCAACTGCAGAATATGAACGCCCAACTCCTCGGATGACACTGCAATTGTACATGGACATTTTTTATATCTTTGTAACGGTGATTCATTCATGGGTTTTTCGATCATTTTTTTGATCAAACTAAAATCAACTTGAAAAAAAACAACGTAAAAGTATTGTACAAAATCTTAAGATAATAGACCATTTAATTATGGCCCCTGACTTTGAATATCTTCGATTCATCCCTGGGTCATTTATAGTACCACTAATAAAATTAAAAAACAAAACAACATAGAAATAAAGAAAAGAAAATCAACCCACAGTGATTGTACAGTCCCTTTTTCCTCATGAATAGCGTGGTGGTCATGGTGTTGTCTCCCAGATGGAAAACGTCCCTCTTGGTCATCTTGGGGTCGAACCTGCTCTTCCAGAGCCCCTTGAAGTACACGGCGTTGGCAATGACCGCGTCGGTGCTCTCGTCGATCGCGTTGGCCGGCAAAAAGTCGCGGATGTTGTTGCGGGTGACGTTGCTCACCCACTGATTGATGGCCTCGCGAGCGGCCATCGGGTTGGACTTGAAGTTGGTGCGCACGAGCTCATCGCCGAAAAAGTCGAACATGCACTCGCGCATTTTTTTCTCGCCGCTCAAAAACAAACGGTTCGCCACTTGGTACTCGTAGTCGCTTCCGGATTCCTTCTGCAAATGACCAACCTTGTATTGGGCTATACGAGTGCGCAATCGTTGTCGTCGTTGTTAATTTATTGGCATTTTTATCGATTTTTATTTAGTCATAGTTTGATCGACAGCGGAATGTCAATCGATCCTCACGTTGTAGCGAATAATCAGTCATTTAAATTCTCGCGACTCGAACGAAAAAACCCAGCACGTGCTGAGACGCCTCGTCTATATTGTTGACTCGGTGATTTTATCATGTAGCCATTCAAGTTTTTTTTTGTTCAACCGGAAGCCAATTCGTGACAAAGTACCTTTTCTGTAGATTATTGATTTTATTTTTTTTTTCACTTTCACATCAGGAGACATTTTATATCCTATATTGTTTAAAAATTTGTTGACAGAACGTCATAAAATGTCATTAATTTTCATAAATTGTTAATATTAATTCTGTAGATCCAGTATATATTCTACAAATGGTAAGTGTTTATTAAATTTAATAACTCTTTTTCTATAGACAAACAAAAAGGAATGAAAAGGAGACGCAGAAAAAGGCACAAAGTATGCGTAATCTCGATTAGCGATATACCAATAATCTAGAGCCTAAGTAAAAAATAGCCAATCGAATGGAATAAAACGAAGGGGCCGTTTGTTTTTCCTTGTCGATTACCCATACCTTGCGCAAGAGCTCCTCCGACTTTTCGAACGCGTAGAACCTGGCGACGTCCAACTTGGACAGGTCGTCGGGCACCTGCAGGGCCATTTTGAGGGAAGCCTCGGTGTGACCGCGCGCACCAAAGTACGCCAAGCCAAGGGCTTCGTACAAACTGTGCGGGCTGAAGAAGACGTTCTCCTCGGGCTCGATGTCGGCGAGGTGTCTCAGACTCGCGAGGCCGAAGTTGAGCCGAGCGCCGCTCAGCTGCGTCCTCGTGTCGTTCGCCATGACCTTGGGGTTGTCGTTGCCGGTGAGACATTGGCTGTGGCTGCTGGACAATAGACACAGCACCAGCAAACCCAACAGATGAGGAGATCGGACCTGTGGAAGTTACGCTCGCCGTTAGAGGTACAATTTTTTTTTTTTTCTTTCAAAAATGGCACTTTTCAATGTGGCTCGTCTGTAAGTGTTTTTTTTTTTTTTTTTTTTCTTCCAAACTTTGACGAATCAAGCGCGATCTCGCGAAAGTATACCATCCTCGTGGTTCGACGCACACGCGCGTATACGCACGTACATCCCAAATAAAGCGACGCGACGCTTTGTCGACTCGAAAAGACTTTCTCGACGAGAGAAAGCAACGCGTCGTAATCTGAGTGTTTTTTTTTTCCTTAGATACTTTCTTTTTTTCGCCAAAAAGCATCGCTATACCCACACACACACACACACGTATCGAATGAAAAAAAAATCGCTCTGCTTTTCGAGAGAACAGTATGCAGATGGTACGAGAAAAGGTTTTCAGGCCAATGTATATAGCTTCGACCTGGCTTTTTTTTCTCTCTCTCTCTCTCTCTCATGTGTCGGCATTTGGCGGCCGATCCACTTTCTTGACTAACGCTCGGATTTATGTTTCCATGCACGTTTGGTCGACATGTCGCGTGTTATTATTTGTATAAAAATCGGTATCGTGAACAATTTCACGAAATCAATGCGTTTAAGATCATATGCTGCAATCAACCAAATATTTTCGTAACAATGTAAAACGATACATTTCGCGAACCAAAACACTTTGTAACGGACCAAAAAAATTCGTTGTACGTGGATTTACAGTAATCGATGGATCGTATCCTGTAAGGGGAGATAAAAAAAAAAAAAAAAAAAAAAAAACTGTTTCGTGGGTGAGAAAGAAAAGGGCTCTTTGCTCAAGCGTCGATGAGTCATGGCTCGTACGTGATTAAATTTTTATGGCACGCTTGATGAATTGATGTACGGTGGTATCATGTGGAGCCCTCAATTTTCGTCATCNAAAAAAAAAAAAAAAAAAAAAAAAAAAAAAAAAAAAAAAAAAAAAAAAAAAAAAAAAACTTTTTTTTCTACCAACCGCGTACTTATAGTTACTGGAATATATAATATAGAGAACATCAGTGAAAGCGCGCGCGGTCGCAATGACGTCACGTGTGTGATGGGCACTGTACATGTAGGTCCGGCTTTCCTGTGTCCGAAAACAACGCGATCTCGAAATCAGAGGACGAGCAACAAAGCAAACTAGCGGCACTTTGCTCGTGTGTGCGTGTGTTGGTCGTCTAATACTGCCGGTCGAACGCGTGTATAAATTTCCGAAATCGAGGATAAACAGTTGCAGGACACTGATTTTATGTTTTTTTTTTCTTTTTCTTTTTTTTTTTTTAATTACGAAAGTAACGAGTTGCGTCAGGCGTTTCGAATACTTTTGAAAGCAAAAAGTTTCGATTCATGCGTCACGCCAATGGTATTTTTATCCTCCGAGCCAAATGGTATACCTTACCCGATCTCGTCAAATTCACTCGATACGATTTTTAGTCAACCACAACAGCGTCGTTGGATAATCGAGAAAAAACAAGTTACACGAACAAGCTGTAGCTCATCCTGTGTGGAATTGTAAAACAAGTTATGACTCATACGCGCATAATCTAAAAAAAAAAAAAACGCCATACAATTGTCTCGATGAGTCGTGTGAAAACCGGTATCGTGGAAAAAAAAAAAAAACAAAAAAAAACGGCAACATTCACGAGGCCTCTTGTTAATAATCTTCATCTTCTTGTTTCGAGTGGTGCACGATTTTACAAGAGACACGAGTATGAGAAAAGCCGCCAACATTGTACCCTATGCCGATCAATACCGATCTTCGCGAAAAAGGCCAAGCCAATCGATTGCATCAAATCGTTATATCGCGCATTATCTGACGCAAGCCAAGGAATTCCGGAAACGCCGGCTGTCGTTGTTATCGTTGATTGTGAGTACATATACGCTCCAATTGGAATCGCGCGCGTGCCCTACTGTATAATATATACAGCTGTATACGAAAGTGAAAACGACAAGTGCCCACTTATATACACTGTATCGGTAAAGACATGATATACAAGGGACAGAGAGGGGATTTGTATTTGTATGTATACGACGGGTATTTAATTTCTTCGTCTTCTTCCACGCTCGATTGTACTTACCTGTACGAAAACAGCCTTTGCATGGTCGAGCTCCTACTTAATTTGCAGTTATTGTATTGTCCTACCATGAATACCGATTTTTTTTTTTTGTAAGACATGTCTATACCTTCAGAAATGAAGCAACAGGTCCTGGTTGACCAATAAAACGCGCTTTCGTATGTTGAAAAGACCTATTCGCCAATTACACACTCGAGCAAAAATCGGCAGTTGGACGACGCGTATCTTCATAGTTTAGTTTTTGCGCCTTCTGTTTATGCTCGAGCTCTCCCGAGTCTCATCTCGTTTTCTCGCTTTTTATTGCAGTCGTTAATTTTTTACATCAACTCAGCGTCGGGATGTTGAACCACGGACAAACGACTGTACAGCCTCTCTCGAGGGAGCTAGGAGAACGAAACAGCGCGATAACTCTCATCGCTTCGAGCTTCTGTGTCGTCGTACGTTTTATCGCATTTTTTTTTTTTTTTTTTTTTTTAAATACTCGGTGTGATTTTCCACGCACATGGGGTTACGAGCTCTTTCGCTTAATCGATACCGCGGAAGAAACGTTTGCATTTACTCTCTAACGCTTCCATCTCAAAAGTATATGAATCGTCGCGCAACCGATGCCTCCTTTGTTCGTTTTGTGATTGACGAAGACGAGCCACACGTTATTACAAAAACAAATGAATTGCTCCGCGGCGAAGCGTAGAGGTAATCGACGTAAAATTTCATGCGAAATGTAAAAATAATCCACTGTTTGTCTTGGTGACAAAAATGCCACAGGAACCTGCATTTGATTGAAACTAACGCGAAATAAAATTATATCTACGGTTTCATTTTGTTCTTTTACAACAGAGGCCTGTCGCAAAAAAAGTACATTTTAAATCGAAAATGATTAAAAATCGGAAAGATTGAACGAGCAAAAACGTGGCAAGTAAAATATACGTAAGATGTGTAAGCAGTTACGAAAGGAGATTAAAAATTGTGTAGGGGATAGATCGTGTCACGTACGCGCAACATAAACAAATGATCGTGCTCCTCTTTGAGAAGCAGGGTCGGACAAAACAATATACATCGTATACCTTGAAATTTCACCTACACCCACATACCATAGCGAGTGTACAAATACTTGGGGTACTTACCGATCGCGTCATCGTTGTCGTTGAAAAGTGAAGCCAAAAATTACAAACGGACAAACGGCTGCTGCAGGTACTTGTACGAAAAAAAAAAAAAACCAAAAAAACCAAAATAACAGGGTAGACGATAGGTGTACCGGTGCACTGGTATGCGAGACGCTTCGTTCCCGAGCGCGTCTTCGTCAAGGACTGATACGTGAGAGCAGCTGACGTTTCCTTTTATCCCTCCCCACTGCTCGAAAACGCGGCCTTTCCCACAAGCGTATGATGGACAACCGGTCTCGGTACACATTGTACTGGACGACGAGTAGCGCGTAAGTACACACGCTTGTTGGCATTTTGCAATTGGCCTTTTTTTTTTTTTTTTTTTTTTCTCGTGTACAGTGACGTCATGGCAAAAAGTTTGCGTTGATCTTTTGATCCTCTTTTCTTTTCCTTTTCGCTCTCTCGGTACTTGAGTTTCACTTAAAGGGGACCGTCGCGCTTCGAATTTTCAAAAATAAGTAATGTGTATGTTCGCGTTCAGTCCCTTAACTCGAGTTTTGTCGATATTTTACGAGCGGGACCGGATAACTACCTCTGGAACTTCATACCGATCGTCCCTTGCGGAGCAAACAGAGAGTTGGATTGGATGAGGAAATACAGCGATGCAGATTGTATACGTAATCTGCTCGAACTTTTCGTCCGAACTGGAAAAAGAGACCAGTATACGTCTTTTATACTTTGAGTGTGTGCGTGTGTCAGATTAATCAGTGCGTTGTAGGGTCTTCGTTTGATTGATGGGAAACAAACATGGTTATCATCTTTTATCATCGCTCTAGTCTAGAGATGTTTCGCTACATGGTTTTCGTAGTCGGACAAAACATATTATTGTTATTTATTGATGTTCATAAATTAGAAGAGATCATTTGCCTCGCCGATGTTGGAAAATTCTATCTTTTTTTTTTGTCTCGTTGTTAAATTTCTTACAGCGTCAACGAGAGCTCACAAAATATCGTTAAAGAGATTTTTAAGATTATACATGTGGAAGATGGGGGTTTTCTGCGCAAACTGCTTACGAGGTCTCTATGACCATTCAGTTTTAAGGCACATTGTGCTCCTCGCTATTATTTCAACCAGAGTAGTAACCTTGACCAGCCTTGGGTACTGTTGATTTTCCAATTTTCTCGCAATATAATTGTTTGCTAAAAATTCAATGCATTATTCGTGTGGAGAAATTTTTTTTTATTCACTCATAACCTTTTATAATTTATTATAATACGAATAACCCATTACAATTTGAAAAAAAAAGTAATTCAGAGGAAAAAAAAAAATAGTAACGAATGATTTGGTTTCAATTACTTTACAATAAACTTTAATATCTAAAATTTGCTGCGCTTATCTGATGTAAAAAAAAAAATTATTAAAACAAGTATGATCATTGTAATATACTCTTTAAGGAAATGGTGAAAATGCTCACTATTTGCTCGGTGAACTAGATTATCACTCCCAAAATAGTGAAAAAAGAGTGATACCAAACATCGTCACTGCTCGAACAGTATGCAATGTTTTAATATGTAGTTGTAAGAAAGTACACGATGGTTACATATTTTGTTTGATCAAATGGTATTTGAAAAAAAAAAAAAAAAAAAAAAAAAAAAAAAAAAAAAAAAAAAAAAAAAAAA